AAATGTTTCAACTTAAGTCAGGGTAGCAACAAAGGTAATTACAGGTAGAGACTAAGTAGAAGTGGGGTAGAGAATAATGCCATTTAAATTAGAACTGAAATTGATCAAATAAATTGGATGAATAAGTGTTGGTTTGTGGGGATTTGGTTGGTTACAGGATTTCATCATGAGCTGACATTGGTTAGAATACCAGTACTCCCAAGTTTTCCAATGATTCTTTAACCAATGTCAGCTCATGATAAAATCTTCTAAATTGGATGACGTAACATAAATGACTGACTAGAAACTGAGCGTCGGTCAAGTCAGTAACAGTTGTAGTGAGGTGTGGAAATTAAATCGGGTTCTTGTTGTCTACCCCCCCAACCGATTTAATATCTACACCTCACTACCACTGTTACTGACTTGACCGACGCTCAATTTCTAGTCAGTCATTTATGTTACGTCATCCAATTTAGAAGATTTTATCATGAGCTGACATTGGTTAAAGAACCATTGGAAAACGTGGGAGTACTGGACAACTGTTTCGTCTTAGTTTGGGACTCTTCAGCGGTAGGCACCCACCGGGATTCGAATCCAGGACCTCCTGGGTACAAGGCTAACGAGCTCGTAGACCATTGAGCCACTGGGACCCGATCCAATGGTTCTTGAATTCTAACTTCTGCCGATTCACGACATAGCGTGACCCCTAGCGCAAGTATATGAGAACGATTGGAAAACTTGGGAGTACTGGTATTCTAACCAATGTCAGCTCATGATGAAATCCTGTAACCAACCAAATCCCCACAAACCAACACTTATTCATCCAATTTATTCGATCAATTTCAGTTCTAATTTAAATGGCATTATTCTCTACCCCACTTCTACTTAGTCTCTACCTGTAATTACCTTTGTTGCTACCCTGACTTAAGTTGAAACATTTTAGTTAGTTATATTACGTCGTCCTCTACTGGTCACGGCTTCCCGCTAGATCCCCAGGTTAACTGCCTGAATACGGCCGGTCGCTAGTGAGTATCAGATTAATTATCAAGTATTGGTTTTGTAGGGATTTTGTTTGATTACTTGGAGGATTTAATCATGAGCTGACATCAGTTAGAGAACCACTGGAAAACCTGGGAGTACTGGACAGCTGTTTCGTCCTAGTTTGTTTTTGTAGATGTGTTAATAATAATGCCTTTGACCTGTAAGCGACTGATGATAAGGCGACGAAATAAAAGATGGTGCCGCTTTATTCTGCATAAGGTGCAGTTCGTGCTTTGTTCAAATCCATTAGCGGGAATAAATGTATGGAATCCAAACGGGAAGCCAACAGTTGGGCCTCCAAGAGTGACATAAGAGAGACCATTTGAATGGAAATTGAACTCTTGTGTACAGCCATAGTGCCAGATGGAGGCGCTGGCAGGGAATGGAGCGCAATGCATATATCCGGCTGTATCCTGGAGGTCAAGAGATGAATAGACGTAAAAACTTGACTTGATCATCGAGGAGGATAACTTAACCTTTTCTTATGTAACTGAAATCACCAAGATAAAGTAATAACGTCTGGTCTCGCAAATGAAATGCTTCCTAAAGTTATGTAAAACTACACTCTACAGACTCAAGTAAATTGACTAATTACTTTCGTAAAATTCAAAATAATTTAGCAAAGAATATCCGTTTCGATAATTTCCTCTTCTTCCGGCTCTACAATGATATATACATGTTTATAAACATAGAATATTCTAGAATGATAGTCAATAACAATATTAGTGTTTTTTAAATAATATCGATTTGTAAAACATCGACCTCCCGACGAAATCAGAAGTCCTGAATGCAATCAAGATGCTAAAAGCTGGAAAAGCAACAGGATAAGATTGAATCCTAGCAGAATCATTGAAAGTGGACCCGGAGGCAACAGCGGACTTGATGACACCACAGCTGGAGAAGGTGTGGAAAGAGGGTAAAGTACCTGGGGATTGGAAGAAAGGACACTTATTCAAACTACAAAAGAAAGGAGACTTAAGTCAATGCAAAAACTGGCGCGGAATTCGATATGTATCCATATATATATATATGGATATATATATATATATATATATATATATATATATATATATATATATATATATATATATATATATGGTGGTCTCTCTTTCTATTGCTCTCTTAGTCTGTGACCATTTCACTTTGATGAACCTGTCTCCTTTAACAATGTATATTCCCCTTATATTATGCATAATATGTGTGTTTGTTTGACAGTCTGTTATATTTCGCTATGTATATATGGATCGATACTCCATTATAATTAACCAATCATGTTAAGACTGTCTATTGATTTGTTCACACACTTGTTCGGACATTCATATATATTTCGCTCTCACACTATTGTGTGATATATATTGATTCTCCTTGTGTTTGGAATGTAGAAGTATCATCGCAAACCTAGTGGTCTTCTGATTTCTGTCTTTCTTGCGTCAGGACTATTAAATTCTCGACCAGTACATAACAATAATTTGGCGACGAGTACATAACAGAATTATGCTCCTGTCCATCCCAAGTAAAATACTAAACCGCATCATCCTGAGGAGAATCAAACAAACCCTAATGGAAAACTTCGACCGGAACAAGCTGGATTCCGGAGAAACAAATCATGTATTGATCAAATAGCCATTCTACGGATCATCATTGAACAGAGCTTGAAATGGCAGTCAGCTCACTCAACTTCATGGACTTTGAAAAGACCTTCGACAGCGTCGACAGAGAGGTCATCTGGCAACTACTTTGCTACTACGAGTGCCATCGACAATTACACATCTCATCCAACAGTTATACGACAATTCTGCATGCCAAGTAATCCACAAGGGGAAACTTACGAAAGCCTTCGAAGAGAAGATGGAGTAAGACAAACTGGCTGCCTACTATCACCAATGATCTTCTGATTGCAGTAGATTGGATAATGCGACAGACGACGGCAACCAGCGAGGGAACGGGCATAAAATGGACTCACACTAAAAGAGACTTGAGGATCTGGACTTAGCCGATAACATATATATATGTCTGATTTCCCATAAACTGGAAGATATGCAAGTGAAAAGCAACAAGCTGGAGATGGAAGAAGCATCAAAGATAGCAAGGAATTCAGGGGATCATAGAAAAAACCAAGGTGATGAAGATTCTTGGCCAACACTAGCATCGACAACAACAACAGACAACAATCAGCATAAATGGGAGGAACCTGAAAGAAACAGCCTCCTTTACCTACCTACCTGGGAAGTGTCGTTTCAACTACAGGCGGAACTAATGAGGATATCAAAGCCAGAATCGGAAAAGCAAGACAAGCTTTCATTACTCTTAGGTCTGTGTAGAAGTCAACAGCAGTCAGCATCAAAAATAAGATCCGGAGTTTCAACTCCAATGTGAAGTCAGTGCTACTATACGGATCAGAGACTTGGCGCGTCATGAAGAGCACCTCAAACAAACTTCAGACCTTCATCAACAGTTGTCTTCGCTCAATACTCAAGATCAGATGGCCAGTCAGAAAAGATCACCTACAGGGATCTCTGGCATTGAGCAAACCAACCAGGAACCGATTGTGAAACAAATAGCCAAAAAGAAATGGAGATGGATTGGCTGGCCACACTCTGAGGAAACCATCAAGTGACATCACTAGACAAGCCATCGCTCGAGTGGAACCCTGATGGGAAGCGGCGAGTTGGTCGTCAATGCAAGGGTGACTTGGAGGAGGTCATGTGAGGAGGAGATGAAAGCATGTGGACAGACCTGTAGCGGGGTGAAAAAGTTGTCAGAAAACAGAAGGCAATGGAGGTGCGCAGCTGAAGCCCTATGTTCCTCTAGGAATTAAAGGATATAATAATAATATAATAATAATAATCGATTTGTAAAGTAAGATCACGATGGAATTACCACAGTTCGTTAAAGATGCTTAAGTTACAATGATAATAATAAAGATATAATAGCAAATAGAATATCAACTAAAATTAAGAAAATTCCGTAAAATTTGAGAATCATTCAAACCTAGATGGCCAAGGTAATGATAATATCTGCCGAATTACGCTGTGTCTTCAAAACCACTTCTCTTCTGCTTTCAGGGTCATTTACTGCATACCAGCCAATCTTGATTTCACCTTAAGAGTTCGACTTCTAAATATTGCTGAGGCTAGCCGTTGGGATCCATATTAACAAGCCTAATTTGTGCATCCAGACATTATCCTTACCGCTTGGTCATCGAGGTTCAAATGATCCTGAAGTTTTGTGAAATCTTCCTAATTTTAGTTGATATTCTATTTGCTATTATATCTTTATTATTATAATTATAATTTAGGCATCTTTAATGAACTGTGGTAATTCCATTGTGATCTTACTTTACAAATCGATATTATTTAAAAAAGCACTCATATTGATATTGACTACAGTTCTGGAATATTCTATGTATATAAGCACATATATATATATATATATATATATATATATATAATTGTAGAGTCTGAAGAGGAAATTATTGAAGAGGATATTCTTTGCTCACATTTATTTTGTGTTTTATAAATGTCTGAAGGAATATATTCGCTATAATTACTTCCGTCTAGAAAATCCTTAAATCCACTTAGTTTTCTAACATGGAGGTTTATTATTATTTTTTTTTTTTTTTTTTGATTTACAGCTTGATTCCATACTGTTTTGTTGCCATTGCCGGCCGTCCTAGTACTTCTCACCTCATTACATTCCAAAATAGATCTTGATGATTCCCAGAGTTTCAGAAATTTTAACGCTCATAATTGGGGGTGGGTATTTATTGTTGAAAACTGTAATGCATTTTACAGCACTTACATATCACTGTTTATGCAAATGTACACTTCGAAAATGTAGAAAGAGAGTTAATATAATTAAATACAATTAAAAAATAATTTTCATTAAATATCAGTTTCAAAAAAGCACAAAAATGACAAGAGAAATGACAATTTTTTTCAATGGATTTTCGTATTTTTTCAACTTCATCAAAATAGTCATTAACGACATTTAAAGAAGAAACAATAATTGTCACAGCATTCACGACTGCGTAAACAAAATCGGCCTTTTTGTAAACATCGTACACAAATCCCAGAGAATGGTGCTTTTAAATCACACACTGTTGTATCACAGCATCGTTGGCCAAAAGGTAATTTACGACAAAAATTGCCAAGATTTTTACAGGGTAAATTGTCTTCTCGCCAAAATTCTTCTGTGTTAGCGATCACTGAAACAAAAAGCAGTTTTCAATAATTAAAATAATAATATTATTTAAAACAGTTAGTTCCTTTTATGAATTTAGACAAAGTAATAAGAAGACGTTGTTTCTTTGAATCGTGTAATGAATGTATTTGCGCAATACATTCTGAACAATCTGATCCAGCACACACGGACTTGTCATGGGAATATGAAATTAATAAAGACGTAAGAGGTGAGAAAATAGACCACTTAGGTCAAGTTAAAAGGACATATTCAAGGTTAAAATAACAATGAAGACCACTAAAACAAATAGCAGAGGTTAACAGAAGACAAGGGCCAGGCAACAGATCGTTATGAAAATCAACACGTATTTATACATATTTCACATACATTCATAGACAAGCGCAGTCATCTGATTGGTTTTTCGGGATTCCTTGACAAATAGTTATCTGCGAATCATATTTGCCACGTTAACTTTTCTGTGATGGTTGTTGACTCAGCCGTGTTCATATTTTCTCACGGGCCATATTAACGTAGCTTAGTGTCAACCAATCGGCTAGCAGCCTGCTCTCACCACAATAGTACATCTACCCTGGCTGGTATCAAAAGAAATTTTTCCAAAGAAGGTTTAATGTGGTGACGAATTTTTGTATATCATGTACTCGTCCCTAAGGAAGACGTGTACATCAAGCTACCCTACATGGGGCATCATAGCAGCTTGATAACTAGACAAAGACTGAACGCTGCTGTGGTTAAAAAGACTTTTAATGCAGCTAATATTATAATAATTGAGAATGTGAATCCAATATATCTATCTAAGCCCTTCGAACATGCGAAAAATGATGTCACATCCCACTGTATTTACCAATTCGAATGTACATATGGACACACACATGCACATAGTCAGGACTCATCGATCTCCTCAAGTAAGGGCTGACTTTAGAGCAAATTCCTAAATGGCTCCAGAAACAAATGGAATCTTCAGAACCCATTAATGGTGGGAACAGGAGATCTAGCTCCTCTATTGCGAAACATATTTATAGAGACAAGACATAAAATTGACGTTAACACATCTTTTGAATCTATCCATAAAACGTGTTTGGGGCGTATCCTCAAGCTTTTGGAAGCCCGAGCAATTAGGAAGTTTAAACCACCTTTATGTGTTGAAAGCAACAATTCGTCATCACATTAAACCTTCCTTGGTAAATTTTGTTTTGATGATACCATAGCAGGGTAGATGTACTATTACCTCTGTTATTTGGTTTAGTGGTCTTCATTGTTATTTCGACCTTCAATGTGTCCTTTTAACTTGAACTAAGTGGTCTATTTTCTTACCTCTTAACTCTTTATTAATTTCACATGTACATACTCCTTTGACAAATCCCTGTGTGCTGGATCAGATTGTTCGAAATGTGTTGCGCAAATGCACATTACACGATTCAGACAAACAACATCTTCATATTGGTTTATCTAAATAATATTATTGTTAATTTTGAATTAATACCTTTTTTACAAAATAAATTTTATGTACTGTGACAGACATTATATCGGTCAAAATGAGCGACCCCTTCGAATCAGTATGCAGGAACACACAAATTAGCTGTGATAAGCCATGATATATTTTTTGCTTTCGTATCAATGCAAGTAGATAATCATAGGATAATGTAGAAATGTTAAATAAAGAGAACACCAAAATGCAGTCAGGGAATTTCTAGAAGCCTGGTGCTCAAGTGAATCAGCCACTAACAAACTTATTAATATACAGACCAACTTTACCAACTAATAAAAAGTAAACCATCACATGACAAGAAAGCTTAAATTCCAGGTCAATGGAAAATGATCAGTAAAGATGTAGATCGATTAACAGTCACGATAATGGTTGGTAGGAGACACAGTTATATCATTCATGGAGAATTCATATGAGTTCTCATACATTTGTTCCTCTTAATGAATTTGAATACAAATTCAGTGAAGAAAATTTTCTTTATCGATGAAATCATCTTCACAGGCTGATGTACAGTGGCATTTATATTTACCAAAAAATATATAGTGGTCTATTATTGAGTAATAGGGGGTGCGTGACATAACTGATATAATTACTCGGAAGTGGCTCTAGAAGTAAAAAAAATTAAAAGTTGTAAATTACTCGGTAATCACATATACAAAGCGCACACTTTCCAAACGCATCTCTGAAAATTATCCGGTAAAGATAGCAAAAGGACAATGCAAGACAATTACTAGTTCAATTTTCGAGCACCTAGTGAACTCAAGTCACGTAGCTTCACCAGAGTCGTCTTTCAAGATCATCTACAAGATCTACAAAATTTAAAATTTTTTAATTTTTAATTTTACTCTTAGTTTGCTTTTGCTTTAATAATTAAATCAGTATTATCACTCTCACAAGTTCCTTTTGTACATTTTCACACCCTCTTCATACTTGTTAAATTGACACTCAAATACCACCTTTATTCTCACTCAATGACAATTTGAACCTTCTCAAATTTCTATCTTTGTGCCGTTGAGTACCACGTAATTTACAACTTTTAATTTATTTACTTCTAAAGCCACTTCTGAGTAATTATATCGATTACGTCACCCCCTATTACTCAATAACAGACCACTATATATTTTTTGGTAAATATAAATACGACTATACAGCCTGTGAAGATGATTTCATCGATAAAGAAAATTTTCTTCGCTGAATTTGTCTTCCATTTTCTTCAATTTGAATGAAACAAGAATAACTGTTTTTGCAGAATGAAGTGGAACTATCGTTTATTTCGCCGGCTTCTCATCAGCTAAGTTCATTCTATATTAAGAGATGCGTTGAAGATGTCGTTTAGAAGGATGACGAAAGCTTCGTAACTAAATTAACCCGCTCACAGACACACAATCTACCTGAGCTACAAATCTTCTCTTTTATTTCATAACATTACTATTTATCAATTAAGTAGTATAATTATATCTTAGGTGTACAGATTTGGGGGAGAGACATATAATTGTAAGATTAATAGACGAATGTAAAATGTTAAGTAACATGGTGTGAAATTTGATAACATAGAATTTAATATTGTAAAAATAAAGATAAAAAGTATACACATGAATAATTTTTGGTTTAAAATGTCAAGTAGGTCAAGTGGAAAAGATTCAGAGTGAGAATAGTAATAATAATAATAGTTAAAATAATCGAAGTAATAAGGGAAAAGTACGTAGAATAACTAAATAAATAAATGTCTATCCCTCTACGGCCAAGGCAGCAGTAGGGATTGTACATACTTCTTTTGTACACAAAGGTCTGGCTTAAAGTCATGAATTGCCAAGGCCTCAGCTGTCTTTAGAAGTCTGTAACGAAGAAAACGCGGAAGTTAGCATGAATTCTATATAAGACCTTGAAATCATGGTCAGGGTTGACCACGTGACAGGAGTCGATGAGGTGTTCTAAGATAGAGCTTCGCACACATTTCCTTTCTCCCTTGTAAAACCAAGCTGGAATATGTTCTCGTATCCGTGTGGAGAGCATTCTCTGACTACGGCCAATGTACCTTGCTCCACAAGAGCAGGTGAACTGGTAGATGCACATGGAGGCGGTCAGACGGGGGAGCTTATCTTTTACAGAGGTAGAGAACAGTTTGCGGCTCGTGAACGGCATATGTAATCTAGCTGCAGGGAACGTTTTACTAACTGATTTAGAAAGACGATTTTTCAGCATATCAGAAGCTTGATCTCCTTTGAATTCCAAGTTCACGAATAGGGTTTTCTTTGGAACTGAGTCGGCGACCAGTTTAGACTGCTTACCTTTCATGTTGCTGTCAATAAATCGGTTAGGATAACCGTTTTCTGCGAGTGTGGCTTTCAGGAAGTCAAGTTCTGAGTCGACGCAATCAGAACTACAAATTTTCCTTATCCTAAAGCAGAGTGAATGTATTAAATTCCTTTTCCTGGAAATAGGCACCCAACTGTAAAAATTAGTTAGTTGTCCGTTCCATGTACGTTTCCGGTGGATTGATCTCTTGAGAGATCCGTCATTCCGGCTGCTAAGGCACACATCAAGAAACGGAATACTTAGTTCCGATTCCTTTTCAATGGTGAATTGTAAAGAAGGATGGCAGTTGTTGAAGGCGAACAAGACATCATCTATTAATCTTACAATTATATGTCTCTCCCCAAAATCTGTACACCTAATGTATTATCTTATGTATGACATTAATTATTGTTCCACTTGACTTAAACTATGAACCGAATCACAAATATTTTAAATTTATTTCATACTATTATTATTTCATGTATTTACACCTTTGACCTAATTCCCTCACCGGATATAATTTCTTTATAATTATATCTGACAAAAAATATAACCTTTCCATATTCGAGAAGCTGTGGCTCACAGATTAAGAGGTATATATAAACTTGTGGATAAGTGATATGGAAAACAAAATCCACTATTTTTTCTTGTTGCTGCTTTTGTTAGGGGGTTACATTAAATTTTCTCGTGTGATTCTACCTACTTATCATATGGTGTTATTTGGATGGAAGTGATTTGTCTGAAAAAACGATAATCTTGAACAAATCAAAATCAAAGAATCGTTTGATTCAAACATTTTGAGGAGTAAAATTTGAGTTCCTTGACAGAGTAATCACTAAATTTTGAAATGAAATGGAATCTAGTTTGTTTAAAAATCTTCCGTATGAAAAGAAAATAAATGTGACAGCCACTGACATAAATGAGAAGTAACACATTTATAATCTGGAATTGATAGTGTTCTCTGAGCTCCTTGGTTTAATTGCGGAGCTTTCATCGTCTTTGTGGACGACATCTTCAGCGCAGTATTTAGGATGTCGTCCAGAAAGACGATGAAAGCTCCGCAATTAAACCAAGGAGCTCAGAGAACACTATCAATTCCAAATCATCCACCTGAGTTACAAATCTTTTCTATACATTTATAATCTATTATGAGGCTGAACATTCGTATAAATATTGTTTTTTAAGAAGTTATTTCCGTGACCACATTTCTCTATGTTCATCTGGAG